TTTTCCTTCCATCCCTTCGTGTCATGGCCCACCTGCTTGCCCGGGCCCACTACTGTAGTTTGTGTCAGGATCAGGACCGTCTACCCTGATAAATGTACATGTTCCTTCCTGAAAAGATCAGAAATTTGTAAATTAGTGTCCAGTTCTCCATTGTCTGGAGCAGTGCCTGGACAGTGACATCCTGTGGTGAGTCTGGGTATTACTTCTGAGTGTATCAAAGGTTGCCTTTAAAGTCAGCTTAATTGACTCATCATTGGTGTCTATGCTAAGATAATCTGCGGTGCTGGGGGTGTACCTTACTGGCAAGGTACATGTTTAACTTATTCAAGGCCCTGGGTTTGACCATCTCCAAAAGAAGACAGAAAAGGCTTTAACCAAAAAGTTTTATTATGTAGCAGCCTGTGTTCTCTTGAGCACTTTTAGCAGAAAATGGTAGGTGTAAGTGAGTAGCAGCAGTGGTCTTCAGTTCCGTCAAAACTGATGCTGCTTTCAGTGCCCGCACTGGTGAGCACACTGTTCTGGCCAGCTCCAGTTGGATGTAGGTAGAATTATATGGATGGGTAAACTGGACTTGTGTTCTTACCCACTCTTGGGGAGGAGAGTGTGTACAGAGAAGTTGGAGGTAGCTGGGTAGACTAGTTAAGGTAGACCAGTGGCTTGACCCTGGTACCTGGAAAGCACTGTTGGTGGCCTTTGGTAATAGTAGGGCGGACTGAGTCACAGTCTGCATTGTTGGCTTGTGTAGCTAGTGAGGCCTGGAGTAAGACAGTCCAGTGTATGTGGTTCTGTGGAGCCAACAAATACACTATGCTGTATGCCACATACCACAGGGCATTTCCTAAGTAAGAGACCCTTCATAGAAGAGGATAGAAACTTGTAGAATCAAAGCTTGCTTTTTAGAATATAGACCTAATTATAGGAGGATTTTGGCAAATTACTTTTCTGCTTTGATCAGTTACCTTATTTCTGGTAGTGTCAGCATGAAAGCACAGGATGGGTCCTACTTCATTTGTAAACCAAACCACTGTCTAATTTGGAGGCGGAAAGGAAGCCTCTATGGTCCTGGAAAGTGGTGTGGCTAGTGCTTTCTGACCACCTGTGACTCCTCTATTGCAGCCCCCCATGGGCGAGGAAGGCAACCACAAGCGACACCCAGTGGTAGCAGGAGGCAGCGGTGAGGGCAGGAAACGGTGCCCTTCCCAGTCTTCCAGCAGGCCTGCCACTGGGATCTGCCAACCCCCTGCGACATCTACTGGCCAGGCCACTCGGGAAGATGCCAAATGGACAAGCCAGCACTCGGACACACTGACTTTGGGAAAGTGAATGCTCAGAAGCCCCCTGGGGTATGGGATAGAAGGGGTGGGGTGGGCAAGGATCCATGGGGGTGCCCAGTCCCAGGAGAGTGGACAGAGAAGGAACAGGCCTAGAGTTCCTAGGATGGGCCTTTGTGCTAATTAGCAGTGTACACCATTTGGGCTATTAGGTGCCCCCTGGGCAGGAGCCTCCAAGTTCCCTCTTCCCCTCCTGTCTCCATGACTTCCATCTTAACTTCTAAGGGGGAGGGGAAGGGGGAGATTTTTTATATATATATATATACATATATATATATCAAGTTTTAAATTATTGATAGTTTGTCTGGATTACCAAAATCACTCTTCAGCCCTTCTTGCGGCTGTTAGGCCGACCTGTCTCCCCGCCTCTTCCCGCTCCCCTCAAGCCAACTATGCAGCCCATCAGAAGGCTCTGGCGGTGCCCATGGGCCCCAGAAGCACCAGCCCCTCGATCAACTGGGGTTTGCCATCACCGTGTCCCCTGCTGTTTCACATACCCTTCTGCCACCTCTGGGGGAAGGAAACCAAAGGATCTCAGAGTGGGGGTTGGGGAGTTCCAGCCTCTCCCTCCCCCTCCCCAGCCCAGAGACGCTGCTCACACCAGAAGAGACTATTGAAAGATGATTCATTTTATTTTTTTTTCTCTGACCTTTCCATCCTTGAGAAAACAGGAAAAACAAAAACAAAAAAAAACAAAAAACAAAAAAAGGAAAAAAAGACAAAAATCGACCACTAAAAAATGACAAAAAAATCAGAACCCACCTAATCCATAGAAAGTGATGTCTTTCCCCCTCCTTGGAATTTTTCTTCTGTTCTGTTTTTGGAAATAATATTTTTTTAAAAGTTGCCTTATTGTGGAGCGGGAACCTGAACTAATGCCCAAATGCCTGTTTTCCTCCTCGAGCCTCAGAAGAGCTCCGCCTGCCTGGGATGTCCCTGGGCTTGGATTAACTAGAATTTTCCTCGGGACTGAGTTGCATGTACGGGGCCTCCTGCCTGGAGGCAAGAGAGTTGGGGGCAGCTCAATCAGAGCTGTGCCTAGGACAGCCTGCTGTCTCATGGTCTCAAGCTGATGTCCTGTGTTGTCTGCACACTGCTGCCACTGTCCTTGTTCTGCTCGCTGTCGTCTCGCCAGGCCACCCTGCTCTTCCCTCGGAACCCCAAGGCCAAGGCCAAGTTTGCTTCAGACTGTTGTAAACAGAGTTGGCCTTGTCCTCAGCCAGAGTGTCTCCCAACCCCAGGGCAAGGAGGTGAACATCCTCTCGTGGCCACAGCTTAGATCTGTGTCTGACCTTAAAGACCTTTGACCTCAAGGAGGTTTGTCTCGCAATGTGGAGAAAGGTGCCATTCTTCACGGGTTTGGTGTGGTCTTTCCATCTTAACACACCCACCCCCTGCAGGCCACCTCTGCCCACCCTTTCACTGACCCTGCGAGGGATCAGGAGGTGAGAGGAACAAGGGCCGGGGGATCCTGCTGTTTGGTGAAGCCCTGTGGCAGGAAGGTATATGCGGACATAGACTATACCTGACTTCTCTTAAGCCACCGTCTGCCTGAGCTGCCCTGCACATGCCTGAGGAGTGACTGGAGGCTGCTGTCATCGGGAGCTGGGGAGGGGGGTGAAGGAAGAACTGAGCACATGGGCTGGGGAGATGCTCACCCCCACACTGGGCCCTGAGAATGCTCAGTTACTGAAATCTGTGTGGTCCCCTTTATCACTGAGTTCCTCTGTTGTCCCAAAGGCTGGGACTAGGACACAGCATCCCAGGCTGGCAAGAACTTGCCCTCTGTCTTTGGGTACCTTGTTGCTTTTAGCTTGTGCCCTGCCCCACTCTGCCCTCCCGGTGCTTACTTAGTATGTGCACATCCCATGTCAGCTCCTGTGACTCAGTTGTCTCAAATGATACAGGAACAGGATCCGCTGATGGGATCTGAGGCCTTTCCTGAAGTCTGGTACCTGCCCTATGGTGCACCTTCACCAAAGAGTGGGCTCCCTTTTCTTCCTTTCCTTTCTCCTTCCTTTCCTCACTCAGCCCTATACTGTATCCAGTACCACAGAACCTCAGGGCTTTGAGGACCAGTGTGGGGGAAGGTGGTTCGCATCTAGACTATCCAAGCTAGGGTTGCCATCCTCTCCCTGAACCTCTCAGGCCCCTCTGAGGGAGGAAGCCCCTTTGGGGCAGGAAGACAAGGCTATCATCTCAACACAGGCTGAGGAGGGGTGGGAATGTGTGTGTGCCTGTGCGTGTGTATGTGTGTGTGTGCGGTTTTTGTTTGTATTCGTTGTGACGTGTTAGGAGTTGACGTTGCAGAGTAGTTTACATCTTCACCTTCTGAAGACACTTGAATTTAGGACCGATGTATCTGTGACAAGTATGCCAGGAGTGGCAGGGGCCAACAGAGCAAGCCACTTCCCCATCACCATCTTCCCATGGGATCCAGGACCTGAGACAGAGACAGCCTGCCAAACTGAACCGCCTTCATCCTCTGCCTGTCCAGGGTTGGTCATCAGCCTGGGCCCAGCAAGGGCCAGATTGTGTTCTGCCCTCTGAGCCTCCGAGCAAATGCACTCCTCGAAGAGAAGGCTGCCTGGACCCCTGGGTTCAGACAGAGCTGCTGCGCCCCATGTCAAATTGTTAAATGTTTTTGTTCTGTTGCTCTTTCCCACTCCTTTTTGATGACATTTACAAAAGAAAGCAAGCTGCTTGGATGGTCTGGAAGCCAGGGAAAGGGCATGAAGACAAGGCTAATGGAGTGTACCAGAGGCTTGGGTTACCCGGTCCCCTGGATGGGAGCCCCAGAGTACCTCTCTTGTTAAGGGCCCATGGATTCTCCCCAGCCCCACTCTCTCCTCCAGCTATGGTGATGGCAGAGGCAGAAGAGAACGCTCAGCTCAGTTCTCACAGGAAAGGAAAACTCATCATGGGCTTTTCAAAGAAGGTTCCACCTTACGCTCGTACATTGTCTTTACCATGTGCTAGGATATCACATTCAACAGGACAAAAAAATGTAAAATACTTGAATGAGCTTGTATTATAACATTAATATTATTGAGAGTGTCTGCTTCCCAGGCTGAAGTGATTCATTCATTATTCTGGTCCTGCTCTAGTCCTTTGTAATTGGTGGTAATTATTATGCTTTTCTTTTTAATACAAAAAAATGTATAAAAATAAAAACTTGAAAAGGCAAAACACTGGCTGGTCTCCCATCTGGGACACTGCTGTTGGGTTGAGAGAGGAGCCTGGTGTGTGTCCCTAGATGGAGAAGCTCACACTGTCTGCATGAGCATAGTGTAAAGTACAGGCAAAGAAGAGATTGCAATTGGCTTCTGGGCATCTACTTAAGGCAGGACCCTCGGTGCTGAGCCCCCTTGACCCTTATAGACTGTGAAGCTTGTGAAAGGGTGGAGTTGGGTTTCCATTCCCCAGGATATATGCAAGAATTCCTTATGCAAAGTGTTTACAGAATTTTAGGTATGGTGTGGTCTTGGCTTTCTTCCAAGACTTGACACTTTAGCATTTCTTACTTCAAGGTAAGTGGATGATAATGGCCACTAGTGGCCTCCATTCTGTAGATTGTGAGGTGAGCCACCTCAATCACAGGGATGGCTGTGTCACCTGGCTCAGCCTTACTTCCTGGTGTGTGTATGGGGAGAGGACAACACAATCTACTAGAGTTAAATAGAGACTTTATTTAGGGCCTTGATGGGGACTGGCCATGTACCTTTAACAGCACCTCATAGTCTCCATTTTTAGCTTCTTGTCCCTGCCCCTTATGATACTTCATATCAAAATGCTCATATGAGGAAGGGAATGGCTGCCATCTGGTGATGGGGTAGGGCGCGGGAGTGAAGAAATGGAAGGGCACAGGTTGCCAAGGTTGGGGCTGCCTGCAAAAGTGCTTAGTTGCCAGCTGGCCTGGCCTTGCATTGGCCTCAGTGCTACAGGATGAGGCCCTGTTCTGGAGAACTGGCTCATTAGACATTGATGTTTTCCTGTGTTTGTCTAGGCTGAGCAGCTGGGACTACAGTGCAAACCGCTATGTTTAAAAATTACTTTATTTGAGCCACAATATGGAGTCTTGACTAACCTTGAACTAAAATGTCAGATCAGCACAGCTGTGCTGAGATTGAGCGAATTGGTAATGGTGGCAGTCTTTCAGATCCAACCTAGTTGCCAAGTTTTTGGAATCCCAAAATTCCTAACCATGAACTGCCAAGGTGGGGCCTTGGTAAAAACTACTGGAGAAACCCCACTGCTACAGTACTCCCTGAGCTTGTTTTCTGAGGTTCATTGTTGAGGGAGAAGATTCTTTTGGGTTTAGAGAGTACTGACCTGGGTCCTCCCTGACATGAGTTCTGAGTTAGGCACAGACTGGGGTGCTCTTGAGAAGTTCTTGTGGGCTGTCATTGTTCATTCTGAGGGATTTGTGTCTTTGGAGGGCAGAAGTTGACCCAGGCTTTGATGGGAAGCAGGAGTTGTGTGTAGCACATCAACACATCTGGCCTGTGACTACTCCAGGGTGCCCTGGCTGTGGGTGTGAGAAAAGTTTTTGGAGCCAAGAAGCCTCCAGTCCCACTATTACCCTATTCTCTATGCCAACTAGGCCACAGGGAGCCAGCTGTATGGGGATTGTATCAGAGAACCAAGAGATTCCCCCAGGCTCTATAGTGATTTGGGGAGGGGGGAGGAAGCCCAGAGCCTATCATGGCCTTTTCCTGACAGGAATCTTGCATTCCCTTTACCCTGATGGTGAGTGTGGTGGCCAAGTTGTTAAGGGCAGCATGGCCCCTAGGCAGTATCCACACCTCCTACTTGTGAGGGAACAGTCCAGATGGTCCAAGTGGACTCTCTGTTTTCTTTGGAGGATCAGGGATGCTCTCTGAAAGTGGGGTGAAGCCCAGCAGGAGGACATGTCTTTCGTAGGCCTTGGTCTGCTTAAACATGATGTCAGTCCCATGCAGGTGATCCAACACGCCTAGCACCCCGTAGCACTGGTTGAACCTGAAGGAGAGAAGAGAACCTCCCATGCTTAGTATCACCATGCTGTCCGGCTATAACAGTGGAGCCTGGAGCATTTGAAGGGTTCCAATTGAGGGTTGTCTAGGGGTTTACTGTGTTTGAGACAGTCTCACCAAACTCTGTAGCTGGCTTTGAGCTTGTGGCACTGCTCCTGCTTCAACTTCTCCAGTGTTGGCATTAAAATTGTGAGCCACTGTGTGATTATGAACTGGCGGATAGAACCCTGGGCAAGGCCTAACGATCCCTGGGCCTCTGTTGGGTATTGTGCGTGACCCAGAGTGGGCATTTATGTCCTCCACTACTCTGAACTCTCCTGAACCTGGAGTTCTTTTCCCTAAATCCAGTAAGCTGTCAAGCAGCAAGCCCCAGCTCTCCTGTTTCCTCTCAATACTAGGAGCTGTAGGTATGGACAGTAGCAAGGTTGATATGTATGTGGTGCTGAGATCTCACACTATAGAGACTCACCTGCTGACCTGGGATTAAAAGCCTGCTACCATCACCCTCCCCTCCTTTGGGGTGGTTGTTTCTTTAGTTATCCCAGAACTCAGTTTGTAGATCAGTGAAAGGAGGCAGACATGATAGTGCACACCTTTAGTCCCAGCACTTGGAGGCAGAGGCAGGCGGATCTCTGAATTTGAGGGCAGCCTCCCAAAAAACAATACAGAGAAACCCTGTCTTGAAAAACCAAAAAAAAAAAAAAAGTACTATTGGCTTACTTGAGATGGTGGTAGTCGTGGAACTCAGGTGAAGGCAAGAAAGGCAGGTGGTAACCACAGTGGGAGATAGTGGTGATGATGAGAGCGAGGGACAGCCACACGGTGATGGAGGACAGATGAGAGCCCATTGCTAGAGGACCCACCAGAACTGGTAACATGTTGGAAACCTGCAAGAGAAAGGCTGATTCCAGTAGAGGCACCCAGCTGGGTGTTCACTCTGCCCTGCATGGTGCTTCAGGGAGACCACCTTGGCTTGTAACTTAAGACACTCAACTCAGCTTCACCTTTGTCTTAAGCAGTCAGTGTCTAAAAGGTTGGGAGGGGTACGATAACACACTGGGTACCTGGCACAAGAGATGGCGGCTATTCAGTAAGGGCAAGGAACCAGGAGCCTCCACTTCTGGGGCTCCAGGGGCTGTATTTACCACGTGTTCTATCGGATGGGCATAGATTGAGATCACACCGATGGGTGCTGTCCATTCATGATGTTTCTTGTGAATTTTCTTGTACAATGCCGGGTGGTGAAGGAGCCTGGAAAGATAATTCATAGTTTTCCTTCTCCATCCTGAGAAGGTCATGAGAAAGCAAAGCTGAGGTTGAGGTCCACATCTGAGAAGCTACTCCTTGCCCTCTAGTCTGTGGAGGATGAGACTGGCTTACATTACCTGGCAACCCTATCGGTGAAGTAAACCGATACTAGAAAGAACTCAGGAAGTGGGTGGGAACTGACCCCTTCTCCCATACAAATAGGGTAGCTCCTCTTTCACTTGGCATTGTGTCAGGTTGGAGAAAGAGTTGTGTCTGGCAATTTTGGTGTGGTGCCTGAGGACAGAGACCACAGTTTAGTGGCCTCTGCTGACCAGGGAGCTGTTCCAGGGTGAGGCTGTGTGCACATGGAGAGCTCACCGGTGTGAGTAGTAGAACAAGATTTCCTCCACGAGGGTGAAAAGGGCCAGCTCCACAAGGAACCAGTGGAAGGTGGGTAGCTCTCGGCAGCAGGGGTCTCCCCTCCACTTGAAGAAAGGATAGAAGATGAGCAGCATGGGAAGAGAGATCATAGTCTGGTTGAGGAGAACTGTGGGGATAGACTGTCGCAGCTTCACAGGGTCCACCTGCCAGAAGACAAGGGGTGTGGGGGAGGGGACACATGAGAAGTAGGTCTCTACCTGACCTGCTCAGGGTGGGTTTCTGGGAGTGACTGGGGTAGTCCACAGTCTGGGGCTGGTCATGGTGAGCAGTACAGTCCTGCCTGTCCTCCAGAATGTCTCACCAGAGCATAGGCTCTGTGTGCCAGGGTCAGCCACTGCTGGGTTCTGGCCCACAGGTCATCCAGTACTCTACAGGGACAATGAAATAAAACCAGTTAAACACAGGTCAGATAAGCAGTGATGATTGGCTCAGCCACCTTGAAGGATTAGAGAAGGTTTGACTGCCCTAGACTTACATAGGGAACATCTGCATGGATTCAAGGCCAGCGTGGGCAGGGCTCCAACCTTAGTTTGCTCTGCTTGTGACCAGTCCAGAGAGTCTGAACAGGTGACAACTTGTCTCAGGAGAAAGGGCTAAATGGTCGCTTTGGATTGCCTACCTAAGAACTAGTAGCCTCCGCCAAGTGCCCTGGTGGCTGCAGGATATCTGCTGGGAATATATGACCTGAGAATTAGGCCACTTTTGTCATCTACAGAAATAGGAAGGAGGCATCAGCAGAAAGACCAGAAACAATAGTGGTCATCCAGTGTCTCAAACTTGGAGCAGTTTAGGAAGAAAAAGTTATAGATTGTAGGGTTGGCTTTTGTTTGTTTTGCTTTTTTTTTGTTTTTGTTTTTTTGTTTTTGTTTTTGTTTTTTTTGAGACAGGATTTCCCTGTGCTTTGGAGACTAGACCAGGATGGTCTCCAACTCACAGAGATCTGCCTGCCTCTGCGTCCCGGCCTATAGGGTATTTAAATGGTTGAATCTGAAATGGTCTGTAATGAGTCTTGTATATTTTTCCTACATTTCTTTCTGTTTAAAACTTCCTTACTAGCCAGGCATTGGTGGTGCATGCCTTTAATCCCAGGACTCGGGAGGCAGAGGCAGAGGGATCTCTGTGAGTTCAAGGCCAGCCTGATCTACAGAGCGAGTTCCAGGACAGCCTCCAAAACAAGGCAGAGAAACCCTGTCTTGGGGGGGGGCCTTGCTTATTATTAAATGCTTGGAAAAATACAGCCAAGAGGAACGAACAACAGAGACTGCATATCCAGTTCCGGGAGGCTGCATAGACGGCTCAGACAGTATGGACAGTCCTGAGAGTACCTAAATGACTCTCAAAGAGCTTTGCCTCAAGGAGCAGCATATGGGTGGCAGTGTTTGTGTTAAGTGGGACCAAGGGCTGGTTTTGGAAAGTCCTGGGAGCTGAAGAAATGACTCAGTGGTTAAAAACCCTAACTCTATTTACAGAGGACCCAGTTTGATTTCCAACATGCATATGGCGGCTCAAGACTCAATCCATTACCTTCTGGATTCTGTGGGTACTCCATATATATGGTACACAGACATGTAAGCAGGTAAAACACCCATACACATTAGAAAAAAATATTAAAAGTCTCATGTAGCACAAGCTGGCCTTAACTCCCATCTATCATGCCTCCCTCTCAGATGCTGGGATTCCATGTGTGCCACCCAGCCAAGGTTTGTGTTTTATTTCTTAGAGATGGAAACAGTAAAACATTTATGTGATAATGCAGAGAGAGAATAGTAAGAAAGAAGGAAGAATGCTCTGAGGCCGTTTCCTGGTTCAGAAAGGACAGGAGCCAGGAGATGTGGCAAGCGAGACCCAGAGCAGAGCATGAGACCTAATGCGATGGGAGCTGGGCATGGGGCTTTCATCCCCTCAGTACAGTGGGGCCAGGTTAGGAAGGAGTTGGGAGGAGAGGTGTGCATAGGCAAGGAAGAGATGGACGAGTGTGTGGGCAGGCTAGGACCCTAGGGATGCCTGCTGCCCTCAGCTTCCACTGCAGTCTGTTCCTGGGATCCTTCTAAAGTCAGCACCTCCTGCAGCTATCTAGGGAGAGGTCCCAAGGTCCTTCCTTATGTGTTCTCAGAAAGTCTGAAGCATGGGTATGCTGGCCTTGGAATAACATGGATTGAGCTCTGCCTCTGCCACCTGGAAAGTTGAAACTTGAGCAGATCACTCACCTCTAGACCTTGGCCTCTGAGAGAGGCCCCACACTGCCTAGTGCTGTCTAATCACTGCACATAGGAAGGTTTCTAGGTGGCGCATGGTACGCAGAGCTGTAGACTAGTGAGGCTCTTTGGGAGCCCTGGAACTGGAAAGGCCCAGGGTGGGGCTGGGACATGGCTTACTGGGTAGCGTGCCTTCTTAGTATCCTTGGAGCCCTAGGTTTGATCCCCAGCAGCATAACCAGTGGAGAAAGGAAGGTTGGGAGTTCAAGGTCATCCTCAGCTATATTGCAAGTTGGAGGCCAGCCTGGGCTACGTGAGACTGTTTGAGATGGGAGAAGAGGCTCTAGTGTCTCATGTCCTACCCAGAGACTATGGCAAAGCCTCATCTGAACCCTGACAGTCATTACAGTGCTCAGCCTTAAGGTTGAAGGCATTTTGTCAGTGGTGACTGCTTTGGAGACAGCAGGCCTATAGATGAAAGGGTCTTACAGGTCAAATACTAACACAGAGGGCTTCAGTCTGTTCTGCCAGGGTGGGCTGGAGGAAGTCCTCCTAACTCTGGCAGCTGCCATGTCAGGAGGGGACCATTCCAGAGGACTCCTTCAAGACTCCTTTCTACCTACTGCCTTTGGTGTCAGGCTGGGAAGATGCCTTGAGAGTAGAGGTGACTCACCAGGCACCTGGGCGATTAAGAGCCTATTGCCAGGACAGGGTTTGGGTGGGGTTGAGGGAACAGCTTGTCTTCAGAGTCAGCCGCTGCCCTGTTGTGTAAGGAAAGACTGTCTCTGCAGGTTGTCAGAGCACCAGGAAGGCAGGTCCAGACTGCAGTGTGGTGACTCAATCCTACAGTGAGCAAATGCAGCTGCTTAGAAGCCGGGGCTCTTCCTGCCTTTACTGTGGTTGTCTGGACAGCTCACACTGCTGGTTGCATTGGATGATGGTGGTGCACACCTTTAATTTCAGAACTGGGGAAGCAGAGGCAGGTGGATCTCTGTGAATTCAAGATCATCCTGGTCTACATTGTGAGTTCTGGGACAGTCAGCTACATAGAAAAATCATGTCTCCAAAAAAAAAAAAAAAGGGGATGTGCTAAAATGACTACCTACATCTATACATCTAGAGTCTGCATCACCCCCTGCCACAGTGGGGATACCTCCCTTGGGGCAGTGGGTGTCTGGTTTCAGATCCATGGTCTCAGTGCCATGGGTTCAGTGCTGCTTGTTGGAACCCAGCATTATGCTGACTCCGCTTCCTGACGATGGGTGGGACACACATAAGGCATTCAGGTAGATACTTAGGCAGCTCACAGGCTCCTGTGTGACTTCCAGGGGTCAAAAGCCCTCCCTTGCTGAACCATCTCACTGGCTTTTTCTTTTAGACAGGGCCTCCTGTAGCCCTAGGTACCTTCAAACACCCTTTGCTGTACCCTCAGCACAGAGCCAAGGAAGGCCTCCTGCCTCCACTTCCCTGAATGACTGCATTATAGCTTCACACCCCCACGTGTGCATTAGGGATAGAACCCAAGGCTTCTTTGAGGCTAGACACGCCCTTTACCAATCAAGCACCACCCCCCAGCTCCTTTAACCCTCTGGATTCAGGTCACCTCAAAGGTAAGTATCTTGTCCTGACTTTGGTCCCTGTAATCCCAACACTATGAGCTGCAGTGACACTTACCGGTTCATTCTTGCCCAGTTGGATGCGGTAGCGGGAGATGAAGTTGGGTTTCCCTGTTGTGTCCACCACCAGTAGAAGGCCATTGAAGCCCCAGAAGCACAGCCCAGGCACCAGCGCAGTACCTGAGGCAGAGAGCAGAGGGAGTTAGAGCAGCCCCACTAGGAAGTGGATGAACCTGAATGGAGCTGTCCTCTGCCTGGTGACTTACTGCTCATATGCTAGCCATGGAGCCTGGAAAAGTCACTAAGTGTATTTGTTCTGTCTTGTCTGTCTGTCTCTGTGCCCCTCCCCCAGGGAGAGGGAGAGGAGGAGGGAAGGTGAGGGGGAAAAAGAGGGAGGGTCAAAGGGTCTCACTGTGTAGTTCAGGCTGACCCTAACTCATAATAGGTTTCCCCACTGCCTCTGCCTCTGCCTCTCAAATGCTGGGATTAAAGGTGTGTACCCCACACCTGGGAGTTTGGGTTTTGTTTTGTTCCTTTGACTTGTTTTGAGACAGGGTTTCACTCTCACTGTGCAGTCCCGATGAACCCCAAACTCACAGCAATCCCTCTGCCTCTGCCTCCTTCTGAGATAACAGCTGCTGTACCCTCTCAGCACAGTTACAGATGCTTTTACTCTCATCACAAGTGTTCCTATTTGGGCGCTGAAGCAATTTGACCGCCTGGTCAATTATTCTCAGTGCTGATGCTCTGTAAAGCATCTTAGAAGCTGGGCAGTGGTGGCATATGTCTTAATCTCTGAGTTCAAGGCCAGCCTGGTCTACAGATGTAGTTCCAAGACAGCTAGGACTGTTAACATAGAGAAATACTTGTTGTTGTTGGTTTTTTGAGACTACCTTTAGAGCCTGTCCTGGAACTAGCTCTGTAGACCAGGCTGGTCTTGAACTCAACAGAGATCTGCCTGCCTCTTCCTCCAGTGGGCTAGGTGTGTGCCAGCGTTGTCTGGCATGTCATCTCATGAGTGGAGATGCAGAGAAACCCTGCTTGAAAAACAAAAACTTTTAGAAAATACTAGTGGAAGACAGGAAGCTCTGAAGTTCAATGGTCATCCTCAGCCACATAGCCCATTTTTGGACATCCTGGGATACGTGAATTCCTATGCCGAGAAGAAGAAACATAAAGCCTGGCAGTGTATCATAGCAGATAAAGCTCTTGCTAGATAAGCCTGATGACCCGAGCTCTGCTCCACAAACCATGTAAAAATGCAAAGAGCAGCAGTAACTTTGGACTTGTCCTCTGACCTCCACACACACGATGTGGCATATGCATGTCCCCACTGGCATCACAAACATAGTAATAAATACAAATGAAGAAAACACTGATGAAGACACCCAGTCTCATGCTTTACTCTGCCACCTGCGGCAGTTATCCAGGGCATACAGCAGTGTTGCCTAACTACTGGATTAGGAATCCCGATGGACAAAGACGCTGTTTCACTCAGTTCTGTCTCTGTCCCCTTCCTTTAGTTCTTTCCTTACCCATCAGACATCTGGGGTAGGAAGGATACAAGAAGGACTTGGCCAGTGTGGGAGCACCACTGGTAGACTCATTCTGCAGAATAGTTGGAAAGACCCTGCAGTGAAAAAGAGACAGAAAGCAAACACACATAGGTTTGTGCATAGAAATGCTGATACAGCATCTTTAAGAATAACAAGAAAAGCTGGACGGTGGTGGCACACACTTTTAATCCTAGCACTTGGGAGGCAGAGGCAGGTGGATCTCTGTGAGTTCGAGACCAGTCTGGTCTACAAGAGCTAGTTCCAGGACAGCCTCCAAAGCCACAGAGAAACCCTATCTCAAAAAACCAAAAAAAAAAAAAAAGTAACAAGAAAACCTGTGTGGTGTTGGTGGCACACACCTGTAACCCCAGCACTTGGGAGGCAAAGCCAGGTAAATCTCTGTGAGTTTGAGGCCAACCTGGTCTACGGATGAGTTCCCAGACAGCCATGGCTACACATAGAAATGCTGTCTTGAAATATCTAAATAAATAAAAATCACAGGAAAACCTGGGGGCTAGAAAGAGAGGGCTCAGCAATTAGGAGCACTGGCTGCTCTTCCAGAGGACCCAGGTTCAATTCCCACTCCCCACATGGTGGCTCACAAACATTTGTAACTCCAGTTCAGGGAAGCCAATTTGTCACTCCCAGCTCCTGTATGAACATGGTACACAGACATACACTCAGGTGCACACACACACACACATACAAAGGAAATAAATAGTATTTTTTATCACAAACATTTAGAGCAGCCAAAATATCTATTCATAGGAGATGAACGTCTTTCACACGACAGAACAGACCTGGTACCATGACATACTCAACTCTTGCTCATGTGGCAAAGTGCCTATAAGTATTCAGCATAAACCTTGGTTAAAACCAGCAGGTTTGCTGGGCATTGGTGGCGCAGGCCTTTGATTCCAGCACTCGGGAAGTAGAGGCAGGCGGATCTCTGTGAGTTTGAGACCAGCATGGTCTACAAGAGCTAGTTCCAAGACAGCCTCCAAAGCCACAGAGAAACCCTGACTTGAACCCCATCCCCCAGCCCCTCAAAAAAAAAATCTTCAGCAGGTTGGGCAGTTAGTGATGCATGCTGTAATCCCAACACCCAGGAGAATCTCTGTGAGTTCAAGAACAGCCTGGCCTACACAGTAAGCTTCAGGACAGCTAGTGCCACATTTTCAGACCCTGTCTCAAAACAGATTGAGCCTATAAGATAGAGAGCATCAGGTAAAGGCACTTGCAGCAAGTGTGACAGCCTGAGTTCGATTCCCAGGACTACATGGTGGAAGGAGGGACCTAACTTCTGCAAGTTGTCCTCTGACCTCCACATCGCATGCTATGGCATGCTCATGCCTCCTCCACACGTATGTGAAGTAAGTATAATAATAAAAATAATGAGGTAGTGCCGGAAGAGAACAAGTGTGGAGTCCCACATATACAACCCTCTGCTGGAACCTCACCTATGATGAACAGGATCCACTGGTTGCCTTCAAATGTAGACAGCAGTTTCTCCCACTGGGTCTGCCAAAAGTAGCCAGAAGCACCCCAAAATCTCTGAAGATGCCTTGGAAAGAAAAGCATTTCTGTTTCTGGGAAAAGACTGGAAAGCCAGCTCTTTCACGCCGTGCCTCTCACCCCAAAGGCCTAGAGCACACTTACCATGTGACTGAGTTCCAGAAGGCCACAGACAGGAGCAGCCCAGAGCCCAGGATGAGAGCCGTCCTCCTCATGGAGCCCCAGATGTGTCCCTCCTGCAGTTGAGGGTGTCAGGTTGATCAGGCTCCTGCTGGGAGCAGGCTGATGACCTTTCCCCGTCTGTGGAAGGCCCTTCCCGACCAAAGGCTCTTGGCTGTAGCTGGGTGTGTTTATGAAAGCCAGAGCTGGGGGAGGGAATAGGATTGCCCCAACTCCAGAGAAACTGTTGAGCAATGTTGCCACCCAGATCTGGATAGGAAAGGCATTTAACAGCTATGCCATGTGTATGTCATCAGACCTCTTGGCAAAGGGAAAGAGCCACTCAGTGTGTCCTGGAGTCCCTTTTTCAATGATCACAATTACAGTCAGGTATGGTGGCACACAATTGTAATCCCAGCTCTTGGGAGGCAGAGGTGGGAAGAACAAGAATTCAAGATCTGCCTGCTACTTGAAACCCTGTCTCACAGAGTTCACTGACAACCGCTGGATGATAGCCCTTATACAATCTCCAAAAAATTCTCTAACCAGAAGTCATAGAAGGAACCAAGAGAGAATAGCAAGGTCCCAGGCCTCTCCCAGTATGCACCCACATCCCTTGTACTGTAGACATGAATGACAAATGTCACACACCACACTCTTCCTAAGCCTAGCTGGATGATGGTGGTGCCCGCCTTTAATCCCAGCACTCAGGAGGCAGAGGTAGGCAGATCTCTGTGAGCTCCAGGCCAGCCTGGTCTATAGCACAAGTTCCAGGACAGCCTCCAAAACAATACAGAGAAACCCTGTCTTGGAAAAAAAAAAGAAAGAACTTGGATGCTGTTCCTCATGAGCTGCCCACCTTGTCTTTTATGACAGAATCTCTAACGGACCTGAAGCTCATTGACAAGGCTTGGTTGTTTGGCCAGAAAGCCCAAGGTCTCAGATTGTGCTTGCTACTCAGAGCTGGAATTAAAAGTACATGCTGAGGTATCCAGCTTTTACATCCCTTCTGGGGTTTGAACTCAGGTCCTCCTGCTTACATGGTAACTTGTTCTTTGACACTCATCACCCTAACTTTTTTTTTTTTCCGAGACAGGGTTTCTCTGTGGCTTTGGAGGCTGTCCTGGAACTCGCTCTGTAGACCAGGCTGGCCTCGAACTCACAGAGATCTGCCTGCCTCTGCCTCCCGAGTGCTGGGATTAAAGTCGTGTGCCACCAACGCCCGGCTTCATCACCCTAACTTTGACAAGCTTCTTTGGGCTATTACAGTGAATCCCTTACAGTGCTCTGAGGACAAGTCAGCAGCTTCCTGGACTATTAGGGGATTCTTTTTGTCTGGTTGGTTGGTTTTTTTAATAATTTATTTTTATTCTATGTACATTGGTGTTTTGCCCCTTGTATGTCTGTGTGAAGGTATCACATCCCCTGGAACAGGAGGTACAAACAGTTGTGAGCTGCCATGTGGGAGCTGGGAATTGAACCTGGATCCTCTGGAAGAGCAGCCAGTGCTCTTAACCATTGAGCTATCTCTCCAGCCCTGGACTGTTTGTTTGTTTGTTTTTGAGACAGGGTCTCACTACGTACCTTCCGCTGGCCCTGAACTCTCTATGTAAACAAGACTGGCTAAAACTCACAGAGATCTGTGAGCTTCTGCTTCCTGAGTGCTGGGATTAAAGTCATGGGCCACAGTTGGGGGATATTTTGTTTGTTTGTTTAAAGATTTATTTATTTATGATGTATACAGTATTCTGCCTCCACGTATGCCTGCAGGCCAAAAGAGGGCACTAGATCTCATTACAGATGGTTTGAGCCACCTTGTGGTTGCTGGGAATTGAACTCAGGACCTCTAGAAGAGCAGTCAGTGCTCTCAACCTCTGAGCCATCTCTCCAGCCTTCTTTGTTTTTTGAGACAGGTTTTTTCTGTGTAGAATGAAAGGGAACAGAAGAATATGACACCCTGAGGAGGGACAGCCCTTTACCAGCACAGTGGGAGACTGGGTGCTTACCTGTGTGGACCTCTCATGGCGTCTTGGGCTTTCCATGTCTCCTGTCATCTGGAAGATAAAGTACAGGTTTTAGAGTCCCTGCCATGTGCCACTGAAGAGGGGGCAGTGGAGAAAGAGAAGGCTGGCACCAGATAAACTGATCCTTAAATTTATACTGGAGAGCTGGGCAGTGGTGGCGCACACCTTTGATCCCAGCACTCGGGAGGCAGAGGCAGGCAGATCTCTGTGAGTTCGAGGCCAGCCTGGTCTTCAAAGAGAGTTCCAAGATAGAGTCCAAAACACAGAGAAACCCTGTCTTGAATAACCAAAAAAAAAAAAAAAGCAAAAAAAAAACAAACAAACAAACAACAACAAAACTGATTTGGGGGCGCTGGAGAGATGGCTCAGTAGTTGAGAGCCCTGCTTGCTCATGCAGAGGACTCAGGTTCAGTTCCTAACACCCACATGATGGTTCAAAACCATCTGTAACTCCAGTTCCAGGAGATCTGATGCCCTCTTCTGGCCTCCTTAGGCACCAGTCACAGGCAAAGCAATCACACAATTAAAAAAAAAAAAAAAAAGATTGGGCCAGGCGTTGGTGGCGCACACCTTTAATCCCAGCACTTGGGATGCAGAGGCAGGTGGATCTCTGTGAGTTCGAGGCCAGCCTGGTCTACAGAGCTAGTTCCAGGACAGCCTCCAAAGCCACAGAGAAACCCTGTCTTGAAAAACAAAAAAAAACAAAAAACAAAAAAAAAAAAAAGATTATGTGCAGATGTTTTTGTCTTTCATGGGTATTGCCCATGAGTACAGGGCCCTGTGGAGGACTGAAGAGGGGGGTCTCATAGAGAAAATGCTACACAGAGCTGGGGCTGTGACTTAGTGAGTGGAGCAGGTGTAGCTGCCCTGAAGCTCTGGGTTCCAGTTCCAATAGCAGACGAGGCGACACATGAATGCCTGTAATCCCAGCACTCAGGAGTCAGAGGACAAAGAGTGCAGAGAAGAAAGTTTTCACTGAATCCAGGTACAGCGGTACACAATGGTATTTCAATGCTGGGGTGGCAAGGACAAAAGGACACCTCCAGCTCTCATTGGCCAGCCAACCAGTCTAGCCGAATCAGAAAACTCCAGGTTGAATGAGAGATCCTACTTCAAAAATTAAGGTGGATATCCCGGCATGGTGGTGTCTGCCTTTAATTTTTAATCCCAACATTGGGAGGCAGCCAGGCAACATAGTAATAATGTGAAGAGTGATTGAGGAAGACACCCACCTTCCTCCATGGAGCCCACGCTCACACATACACACTTGCACACACACAGACTGTCACTGAAAACTAGGTAGTAATTTCTCCTTGTCTCTGTTAGGCATGTCCAGCATGGTCTGGAACACAAGGCCACAGATCAGCTCAGAGGAATAGGCCACCGTCCCCCTATTACCTGGGGCTCTACCCAGCTGCAGGGATTTCAGGTCTCCTAGCCCAACGTGGGACAACAGGAAGGAGCTTAGATGAAGGGGAAGAGGATGCTTGATGTGGGGTAGGCTGCTGGGCCTGCTTATGTCCTGCCCCTTGGGGAGCTCTTCCCTAAAGATGCCGGGCAGGGATGAGGGAGCTGGTAATAGGACCTGGCAGAGTCATATCTATACCACAAGGACAGAAGCCTTGGTCCAAACCTGAGGTAGATACATCTGGCCATTGTTACATCAATGAACTGGATTATAAAGGAATTGTGAAGCATAGTGTTTTGAGGCAGGACCAAGCCAGTATTAAACTCGACTTTGAGTGGGGCAATTGTGGTGCACGCCTTTAATCCCAGCACTGGGAGGCAGAGGCTGGCGGATCTCTATGAGTTCAAGACCAACTTGGTCTACCGAGTGAGTTCCAGGACAGCCTCCAAAACAATACAGAGAAACCCTGTCTTGAAAAACCAAATTTAAAAAAAGTCTCTGATCTGGTCAATATCCCCAAGTGAACAGGGAAGGTCAGAGAAACTCCCTTCACACCCCACCAGGTCTCTGAGTAACATAGGTCCTTCCAAGACCCACAGTTTGCTTGCTGTCTGGGAATCTGAAAAAGTATGGTGCGTACGGCCCAGGGAGGCAGAAGTGTGAGGACTTTAGGGCTGAGCCTATTAACAGTCTTGTGACAAGTAGCCAAGTGTCCAAGTTTGCTTCAAGATGCTGTGTGTGGCGGGGGCATTATCCAGATGTCTGCAGAACGGCTGCCACCTGCATAGCTCTGGCTCACAGTCTCCTCTCTGTTGCTATCAGGCAGTATAAAGTAACAAACACGGTCAGAATGGCTCTCTCACTTGGGAGGAGGCAGGAGGTATTTTTGGAGTATTTCTTCTGTAAGCTTCCAGAACCCGTGGTGCAACAGCACATGGGGAGCCTCCCTTACAAGTCAAAGTCTTCTCCAGCATCCTCCCATCTAATCAGCACCATTATCTTTGTCCAGAGCTTGTGAGATTTGACCTTTGACCTTCCAGAGTTCTTCCACACCTTCCAGAAGCTTTTGTGAAGAATTCACTGTGGACAGGGGACTGTGGCAAATTCTGGAGCTATGAACCTGAAGGAAAACCTTCAGTTCAGCCACACAACCCATACTTTGCAAAGTCATCTTCAGAAGAACCAAGCTAGAAGTCTGGTGATGTGCACCCTTCACCCCAGCCCTTGAGAGACTGAGGGTCATTGTCAAGGACAGTCAGTCTGGTCTCCATAGTGAACCCCATGCCAGCCTGGATACACGGTAAAATCTGTCTCAAACAATTAAAAACTGGGGTTGGAGAGACGGTTGGGCTGTTCAGAGAGTTTGTTGGCACAGGGCCGGTAGCTCCAGCTCTGGGAGATCCAGCGCTCTCTTCTGATCTCTCTACACCTGTGTGTAGGCTTTCCCACATAAAAACAAAGATTTAAGAAAACAACGATGAATTAAAACATAACTTAAAAAAATGGGGGCTGGAGAGATGGCTCAGAGGTTAAGAGCACTGACTGCTCTTCCAGAGGTCTTGAGTTCAATTCCCAGCAACCACATGGTGGCTCACAACCATCTACAATTCAATCTAGTGTATATGTAATAAATAAATAAATCTTAAAAAAACGAGTAAGCCTGTGCTAGGAAACTTCTGAGGACAAAAGCCCTTGAATGCCCAGGATGCTTCTCATCCTTAGGCATATGTCTCCAAGCTCACAGTGAATTGTTTCCTCTCAGATGGCTTGTTTCAAACTTCCTCTGGCTTCATCCTCCAAAGTGCTGGGGCTACATGTGTATACCAACTCGAGTGGCTTAGACTAGGTTTTAGTGTATACTGTGGAAGCTGAGCTCTAGGCAGACTGCATCCATGTTTCCACTCAAGACTTACAGGGTGGTAGTTTTAGCTGGGTGGGTGAGTGCTCACTTAGCATACACGAGGCCCTCCCTGGGTTTGATACCCAGCGCTGCATAAACTAGGCAGGCACTTCTGTGAACACAGCATATGGGAGGTGGTGGCTGGAGGATTGGTAGTTCAAGGTCATCCTCAGTTATTTAGGGAGTTTGAAGCCAGCCTAAGCTATGGCAGATCTTCATGTCAAGATAGATTTAAGATTCAGCTGTGTGAATGTGGTGATTGCCGTGGAAGATATTCCTTCTTGCAATTTTCAGTTTCTACGGAGACAGCACATTCTAAGGACACAGATCAACCCCAATGAGGAGATAGGACAGGACTCTCTCTCTCTGGAAGCTTTCCGTGGGATGCAACTGAAAGCCAGTTTTAAAAAAATTGTTTTAGGCTATTTTATGTGTATTGATGTTTTGCATGCCTTGTGACTATGTAGTTCAGATGAGGCTGTCAGATTCCCTGAAACTGGAATTAGGGGTGGTTGTGAGCCTCTATGTTGGTGCTGGGAACTGAACCCAGGTCCTCAGCAAGGGTAGCCAATGTTCTTAACTGCTGAGCCATCTCCCAGTCTCTCCAGTTTATTTATTTGATTGGTTGGGTTTTTGAGACAGGATTTTTCTGTGGCTTTGGAGGCTGTCCTGGAACTAGCTCTTGTAAACCAGGCAGTCCTAAATTCCCACTGTAGACCAGGCTGGCTTTGAACTCACAGAGATCTGCCTCCTGATTGCTGGGATTAAAGGTGTGTGCCACCACACACACACACACACACACACACACACACACACACACACACACACACCATCCCCACTTTTCTTTTTCTTTTTTTGAGATACAGTCTCATGTAGTCTCAGCTGGCCTCACTATGGTGACTGAGGATGTCCTTGAAGTCCTGGTCTTTCTGCCTCCAACCTCCCCTTGGGCTGTGATTAAGTGTGTGCACCACACTTAGTAAGCATGTCTCTTATCTGAAAGATAACTTGTGCTGGCAAAGACCAAGGAAAAGGGAACCTTAGTACTTTCAGTGGGACTGAAAACTAGCAAGGCCACTGTGGAAATGAGCACAGAGCATTCTTAGATATTAAGTGGAACTAGCATATGAGCCAGCCATACTGTTCCTGGGCGTACACCCAAAGAACTCTATACCTCTATACCTTATGTCTTAGTTGTTCTGTTATTGTGAGGAACCACCATAACCAGGAAAACTTTTTATTTTTTATTTTTTTTTTTGATTTTTCAAGACAGGGTTTCTCTGTGGCTTTGGAAGCTGTCCTGGCACTTGCTCTGTAGACCAGGCTGGTCTCAAACTCACAGAGATCCACCTGCCCCTGCCTCCCGAGTGCTGGGATTAAAGGCATGTGCCACCAACGAACCAGGGCAATTTTTAAAAAGATTTTATTTATTTATTGTGAATACAACATCCTGCCTCTATGTATATCTGCAAGCCAGGAGAGGACACCAGATCTCATTAGGGATGGTTGTGAGCCACCATGTGGTTGCTGGGAATTGAACTCAAGACCTCTGGAAGAGCAGTCAGTGCTCTTAGCCTCTGAGCCATCTCTCCAGCCCCAGGGTAATTTTTAAAGTAAACTATTTAAGTGAGGGCTGGCTTACAGTTTCAGAAGGTTAGTTCAAGATCATCAGGGGAGGGAACATGACCAGAGGTAGGTAGGCATGGTGCTGGAGAAGTAGCT